GGTCCTGGGATCGAGTCCCACGTCAGACTCCCTTCTCTGCGGGAAGCCTGCTTCTCCCTCTCCCACTCCCCCGTTTATGTTCCCTCTCTCACTGTGTCTCTCTCTGTTAAATAAATAAATAAAATCTTCAAAAAAAAAAAAAAAAAAGCTGTGGACTCACAAATTCTGCCAAAAAATTAAAGCTGTTCCTCAGCTTCAAGGCTACCTCTGCTCTGTGTTTTCTCTCACAAATGGAGTTTACCCTCACAAACTGGTGTTCTAAATTTCTTAAAAAGAACCTAATTAATAACTGATCCATTAAAATGTTTATGCACCAAAGGACACTATGGAGAAGGTAAAAAGGCAACCCACAGAATGGGAGAAAATATTTATAAATCATATATCTAATAATGGTCTACTATCCAGACTATATAAAGAACTCTTACAACACACACACACAAAGAGAAAAAAGAAACAAACAAAAGGCAGTTAAAAAATAGGCAAAGAGATTTCTCCATGGAAGATATACATGTGGCCAATAAACACATTTTTTTACATCACTTTTTTTTGTCAATAAACACATCAAAAGATCCTCAACATCATGAGTCATTAGGGAAATACAAATCAAACCACAATGAGATACTACTTCATGCCCACTAGGGTGACTATATGAAAAGAAAAGAAAAGAAAAGAAAAGAAAAGAAAAGAAAAGAAAAGAAAAGAAAAGAAAGAGGAAGGGAAGGGAAGGGAAGGGAAGGGAAAGGAAAGGAAGGGAAGGGAAGGGAAGGGAAGCAAAAGAACAAGTGTTGGTGAGAATGTGGAGAAACTGGAACCCAATGTACTGTGGGTTACAATGTTAAATGGTATAGCTGCTATGGAAAACTGTTCTCAAAAAGTTCTCAAAAAGTTAAACAGTTCTACTCCAGGGCATACCCAAGAACTGAATACAGGTGTTCAAATAAAAGCTTATAACGAATGTTCATAGCAGCACTATTCACAATAGCCCAAGGGTGGAAACAACCCAAATGTCCATCAACTGATGAAGGGATAAACAAAATGTGGCATATCCATACAACAGAGTATTATTCAGCCACAAAAAGGAATAAAGTACTGATACTGCAACACTGAAAACATCATGCTATGTGAAAGAAGCCAGACAAAGGCTACATATTATATAATTTCATTTATATGAATATCCAGAATAGGCAAATACGTAGAAACAGATTAGTGGTTGCCAGGGCCTGGTGGGAGGGGGAAATGAGGAGTGACTGCTTAATGGATATGGGGTTTCCTTTTGGGGTAATGAAAGTGTTCTAGAACTAAATAGTGGCAATGCCTGCACAACACCAGATGTGCTAAATGCCACTGAATTATATACTTTAAAATGGTTAGAATAATCAATTTTTTCCAAGGTTTTTCTTTTTTTAAATTTTTTTAATTTTTAAAGATTTTATTTATTTATTTGACAGACAGAGACACAGCAAGAGAGGGAACACAAGCAGGGGGAGTGGGAGAGGGAGAAGCAGGCTTCCCGTGGAGCAGGGAGCCTGATGCGAGGCTCTATCCCAGGACCCTGAGATCATGACCTGAGCCAAAGGCAGAGGCTTAACGACTGAGCCATCCAAGCGTCCCATGGGTTTTTCTTTTTTTTTAAAGATTTATTTATTTGAGAGAGAGAAAGAGAGAGAGAGCACAAGCAGGAGGGGCAGAGGGAGAGGGAGAGAGAATCTAAAACAGACTCCGTGCTGAGCATGGAGCCCGACGTGGGGCTTGATCTCACAACCCCAAGATCATGACCTGAGCTGAAAGAGTTGGCTGCTTAACCAACTGTGCCTATCAGGCACCCCACAGAATAGTGAATTTTTTTATGTGAAATTATTGTCAATAAAAATAAAATTCTATTCTTCTTCCACATAGTATCTGAAAACTTTTACGTCTTGAACTTTTTCTCTTAGGAGTGGGAGCAACAATAGTCACTACCATTAGTTCTAAAGTTTACAAAACATTTTGCCATAGAATCTTATATAATCTTCACAACCCATGAGGTAGATATCACCCCATCTTAGAGATAAGAAAAACAGGCTCAAGATATAAAGTCATATAGCTAGGAAGTGAGACAGCTGACTGAGCAAATCAGATTGGGCTGGCTCCATTGTATTATACTGCCTACAAGGCAAACAGCTCCAACTTGATAAGCTTGAAAAAGGATAGGAGATATTACTGTGTACAAGCATCTTGGGCAATTTTTCTTCTTCCAAAGTTAGTGTTTTAATTAAAGCAGTAAAAATATTCATTGTACACAAGTTAATAAAAGTTTTTTAAAAACCAATCTAGATCATCATTGTACAATAGCAGCATAAAGCGGACATTACAGATTTCCTTTTCCAATTTTTGAAAGATAGGGGTTTAAGTTTCTCAGTGCAATATATTTTATAATGTTAGCATGTTCGCTCATCAGTGAAGTTCAGCATAATGTTTACAGGGCATGGCAGTAAAGCAATGGGATAATTGTGCATGTTCCTTATATAACTGGCTTCATTAAGTTACAGTCACATTTCCTATTAAGGATTAGCTAAGGAATGACATTATCAGTGGTTTTCTAACACTGATGACTCCTATATATGTTCCTGAGAAGCAGAGGAGTCAGGGTTATCCAACCCTCTATTAATCAGAGGGGCCTCTTAATTATTTTCCATACTGGGTTTTTCCTGAAGATATTATTTGAAGAAAGGATTCCACAGTTTTTTTAAAAAGTACTTATTGAAAACCACTATAGTACATACATGAATCCTCACTTCCTATAGATAAAGGTTTTTAAAAATCTTTGCAGATTAGCTAACATTATATAATTAAGATTATCTCTAAATACCAGCACAGAAATGCCAATGGGGCTCTCATTCTACACTTGGTATATGGGTGGTCTTATTTTTCCAGGCTCAATTCAATCATCTTGGTAATTCCCATTCTATAGAGTACACATTATAATCACACACTGACAAACAAGTGACTTATCTCAGATAACAGGGCAAAGCATGACCAGGGTCCAGACGTGAAGCCCCATCTCAGATGGCTTAGCCTGTTGGATGGTCTCCAGTTCAAAAAGTCTTGGTGTCATGTGGTCCTTCAGTGCAATGTGACCTGAAGGTACAGATGTCTCTATTTGTGGTGCATGCCAACACTTGAGCTGGCTATAAGCCAGTAATGTTCGGAACTTCTGTCTGCTCAAGGGCAAAGATTATCCTCTCTTCCTTCTATGCTCTAGGTTATCCCTTGTTCCCTTCATGGAAAACCTTTTCCAGGAGCAACATATGGTACAACAGAAATTATGAAATATGAAACAGAACACTTGGGTTCAAATCCTGGCTCTATCTATTAGTATTCCCTTCATGCCTCAACTCTCTGGGCCTCAGTTTGTTCACGGTACTTACCTCATGGGCTATTAGAAGGATTAAATGAGATAGTGCAGCAGTTCACATCATGTGGGCTACAGACCCCTGGGCATGTCTGACCATATCACCAGAGGTCTGAAAAAGCATATACTAGAGAAAAAGAACTATTCAGAGATTAAGATTAAAAACCCTGGAGTAAAACTGTCTGGGTTCAAATAATGGTTTTATCACTGGAGCAAATTACTTAGTCTTTTCTCTCTCAGTTCTCACTTGTAATTGGAGAAAACATTACCTTACTGAATTATTACAAGGATTAGCTGAGTCCACACTTGTGAAGTACTTAACAACAGTGGCTGGCATAGTGAGAATTCAATAAATGTTAGCTATTGTTACTACTATATATGCACTTGTATATTCTATGCAAAGTATTATCACGTAGGTGTTTGCCAAGTTGATGTTAAAAAAGGGTTGTTACCCTTGTAAAGGTTAAAAACTTCTATGGTAACAGTCGTAAAAAAAATCCAGTACACTGCACCTGTCATGTCCTAATCCAGAGTGGTTGAATCTATGATTTCAATCTTCTCAAACTTATTGAGATTTGTTTTGTGGCCTAACACATGTTCTCTCCTGGAGAACGGTCCATGTGCACTTGAGAATGTATTCTGCTGTTGTTGGGTAGTGTGTGCCCTGTGTGTCTGTTAGGTCTAACTGGTTTATAATGCTGTTCAAGTCCTCTATTAACTACTGATATTCTATCTGGTTGCTCTATTCGTTAGTGAAAGTCAGGTACTGAACTCTGCAACCTATTGTAGAACTGTCTATCCCTCTTCAATTCTATCAGTTTCTGCTTCACATATATTGGGGCTCCTTTGTTAGTTATGTTTATAATTGTAGTATCTTCTTATTGGTTTAAACCTTTTATCAATATATAATATCCTTTGTCTCTTGTAAATTTTTTTGATTTAAAGTCTATTGGTCTGATATTTAATAGCCACCCCAGCTCTCTTTTGATTATCATGTACATGGAATATCTTTCTCCATCCTTTTACTTTTATTCTCTGTGTCTTTGTATCTAAAGTGAGTCTCTCATGGTTTGTTTGGTTTTTTTAACCAATCTGCCAATCTCTCCTTTTAATAGAAGAATTTAACCCATTTAAAGTAATTACCAATAAGGAAAGATTTACTTCTGCCATTCAGCTATATGTTTTCTGTATGTTTTATATGTTTTGTTCCTCATTTCCTCTATCATTGTCTTTTTTTTTTTTTTTTAAATTAATCTAAATCCTACCTGTAAAATTCACTTAAGAGGCTTGGTCTTCCCAACAAGGCGACCACCTCTCCCTTTACTTGAATAGTTCCTGATGAGCATCTCCTTCATGGATCTGTCCCAAAATGTTTAAAAGGGAAGACCTGGCCATGAAAGTAGTCTCAGGTTCTATCCCTATTTTCACCATCTGAATCACTTGCCTCTTAAATGCATACCCACCATACACTATTCACCATTCTTACATAACGTTTACTATCATTGTCTATTCCCTGCCTGTATGCAGCCTGAGGTAGGCTGGACCCTAGAATACTTAGGAAGGGTCTTTTGACAACTGTCAGAAAAAGAAGTGAGAGGCAGTGGCTTACATTGTAGGAGCGGGGGTGCCTCTGTTTCCACTGCACCAGGAGCAGCTGGGCCACCACCAAAGTAGCGATGAGGATGAGGACCATTTCAGCGTGCATGGCTTCATGGCCGCGGTGCTTGGCATGCATGCGTGCGTGCTCAACCCTGAAAGTCAAACAGATGAGGTGAGGCAGATCAGGGAAGGTGTGCTGGTAAAAGGGCAGTGCTTTCCAGGGATATTCCACCAGTCTTTAGCTCAGAACACATTCTTGGGCTTTGCATCTGCAGGGTACTATACAAATTAGGGGCTAGAAAAACACACACCCTAGAGAATGGGCATTTTGGGATAGAACAGGGGCTCTACGGGCCTCAGTCAGAAGCTCAGCTATTGGAAATAAAGGTGGGTTGTTTGCTGCCCACCCCCAAGAGCAAAAGCAGCTGACACCTTTCCTGTGGGAAAGAGGACCCAGGAGAAGCCTGTTGTCACTGCCCATTTCAGTCCTATTTCAACCTGTCACTGGAAGGAGAAAGTAACCCAGAGAGAAGGATATAGCCATAAAATCTCATACTCTTAGTCAATGATATTTATAACACCAATAAAGAGTACTATTGCAGATGTGTACTAATTCCAGGGTTAAAGTCTTGCTTTATTTGTCCTATCCTCTCTGTCAGGACCAGGGATCCTAGTCTAAGACTAGCTAAAGCCTGAAAAATCTGGACTGCTTCAACTTTGTACGAATCCAACAGTGTCCTCACCATCAGCATCCACAGGTAAATAGCCTCCTCAAGAGCTTAAGGAAGAGTGCAACTGGAAACTCTTATTTAATCTAAGGCTGGCATTCTCTGGTCCAGAAGACTGGCAACAAGTGATTCTCTTGGCCAACACCTTCCTTTAAGAATAGAGTCAGAGTCAGCCAACAGAGAAATGAGGAAGGAGTTAGAAAAATAAATACAAATACAGCCTGTAGTCAGGAGCTTTTATGCCAATTCTCCATACCTGAGGCTATTAGGGAGAGAGGGAAAGGACAACATAAATGGTATCTTCATAGAGTTCCCAAGGGCAATGACAGACTATTCAAGAAGAACCCAATGGGATGAATTATAGACAGACAAACGATAAAGCAAATACAGTGAAAAGTTAACTGTAGAATCTAGGTGGTGGGCCTAAAGGTGTTTATTGTATAATCTTTCAACTTTTCTGAGATTTTTCACAATAAAATGTTAGGGAGGAAATATGGTAGGGGCAGTGGGCAGCTAAATGTCAGCAGCCAGCCACAGCACCTCAGGGTTCATCTTACATCAACTCATTCAGGGTGGGAGATTCTGACAAAAAAATAGTACGGGTGGGAGTCAGAAACTTAGGTTCAGACATCCATGTGGACTTGGCCAAGAAAATTCACATCTCTACATCACAATTTCTTCATCTGTCCAAGGAGTCCATATCTTTGCTGCTTCCCTCATAGGGTTGTTGTGAGGATAAGCTAAACTAAAAGGGCAAAGGACACTTTAAAAACCTAAGTACTGTGGGGAGTTATAAAGATAACAGATAAATTTCTTATTCTCAGACAGTATATGACTAAATGGATGTACACAACAAAAATACCAAATATGGAGAAAAGACCAGAGAACAACAACTCTGGTTCAGGTTCCCACGCAATGCAAACATTATCTTTACAATCTTTGTTTGAATACTTCCACTGGCTGAGAACATATGCCTCTTAAAGTAATTCGAGGACCATCTATCTGGCACATTGTAGGTACTCACATGTGCTAATAAAGGAATAAAACTCCAATACTTTAAGGGCAGGAGCTCACTACCTCTCAATATACCACGATTATTAAAAATGTCTGATGAGACAAAATCCATCTTTCTATAGCTTCAATCCACTGGACCTAATTTTATACTCTGGAACAACAAAGGACATAATCATTCTTCTTTCCCAATGCTGCTCTTTCAAAGATTTATATGATCTTATTTAAAAAACCAAAACAAAAACAATCCTCTTCCTACCACCACTTTTCTATGCCCTTTTACGCTAACAGTTCTAGATCTTTTCAATGCTATTCATATTACATAATGTGAAAACCATTAATCCTGGTTGCCTTCTTCTAGATGTTATCTAACTGAAGATCTTCTTAATATGCAGTGTTTACAACAAAATTAGCGTGGACTCAGTGAAGCATGGTGCAATTCATCTCCCTAAAGCAGACAGTATATTTCTATGAACATCTTCCAAATTTTGGAATGTTTTGGTAGCTGAGGTATACAACTGGTGCATATTAAGTTTAAAGCTTTCTAAAATCTTCCTGGGTTTGTCATGTAAGTTGGTATCTTTGTCGTTCTCTATTTTAATAATCTAAATGAAAGGGTTTTTTTGTATTATTAATCAAATTTACATAGTTGATTCCAGCTCACTGGTCAGCTACCTTGTGGGGCAAACACTCTGAAGGCTCTTTGATGAGTAATCATGATAATAAGGTATTTGTTGACTGTTGACTCACTCTGGTTACAAAGCAAGTTAGTGGCAGAGTTGAGATCAGAAGACACTATTCCCATTTTTCAGCCAGATCTCTCTGCTCTGTTTCATGGATAATGATGATGTTAATGATGATAGTCACCTGCAAAGCAGGTAACACTTACTGGAAGCTTACCACATGCCAGGCATTGTTCTAAGAATTTCACATATATTAATAGTCCTCACAACAACTCTATCAGGTGTAGGTACTGTTGCAACCTTCATTGTGCAAACTGAGGAAACTAAGGTAGTAAGAAATCAAGTTAACTTGCCTAAGATAGCATAGCTAGGAAATGGCAGAACTAGTAGTATTTAAACCCAGATAAATAGTTTGGTGCAATTACCTATTTACTCCCCAGGACTGAAGGAGCTACTCAGGAGTAACCCAAGTACTGGAGAAGATCACAAATGACCTCTCCTACTAGTCAAGAGTAATGGCTTCCCCACAGACAAGGAAGCAAAAGGGTAGATATACAACTCTATTAGTAGGATTAATTTACAGTTCCCAGCCTGAGGGGCCCACACTGTCACACTTACCTCCACTGCTCCTCTGGGGAGAGGTCTGACATATCAACCTATAGAAAAACAACACCAAAAAAATCCATTACTGTCTTAGAACTGTGCCTGCCCAAATAAGGTACTCATACATTCATCATTATCTTCAAGGAATTATGAGAAGCTTCAAGTGTCACAATCTTTATGAAGCCTTCCCCAATACTCTACTTCCCACTGATCTCTCCCTTCTCTAACCACTTACTTTTTTTTTTTAAGATTTTTTTTTTTTAATTTATTTGACAGAGAGAGGCACAGCGAGAGAGGGAACACAAGCAGGGGGAGTGGGAGAGGGAGAAGCAGGCTTCCCGCCGAGCAGGGAGTCCGATGTGGGACTCGATCCCAGGACCCGGGGATCATGACCTGAGCCGAAGGCAGACGCTTAACGACTGAGCCACCCAGGCGCCCTCTAACCACTTACTTTATCTCATGTCTATGACTGACAGTATATTGCATGTCTATGCTAGGCAATGAGGACAGGAGAGTAAACCTAGCTCCTAAGATGCTCACAGCCTAGTCAAGAAGTCACACATATATACAGAAAATTTCTTGACTACATGCTGAGGACTAGCTATGGAAGAATAAAGAAATGGCTTCTGATCCAATTTGCAGTGTTATAGACTGGCAAAGACCTCCTGGAGAAGACGTGAAATATCATCCAGATGAAGAAATGGGAGAAATACGTTCCAGGCAAAGGGACTAACTAACGTGAAGATGAAGGAATAAAGTTGCGTAGCATACAAATAAATGAGTATGGCTAGGGCAAAAAGTATGAATTAGGATTAGTGGGAGATGAAGCTAGATAAAATATTCTGTCATATGCCATCTGACTCTAACTGGCCCCATGGCAGCAGGCAGCACATCATTAGACTAGGGAGAATTAAGCTTTAGTCCCTGCTCTGCTATTAACTAGCAGTATGACCTTCCAACTTCAAAGTTCTGGTTCTATTTGTTAGTTCTTGTCCTTTAGAGCAGGGTTTCTCAACCTTGGCACTATGGATATTTTGGGACTGGATAATTCTTTGGTGAGGTAGGGAGCATTCCGTACATTGTAGGATGTTTTAGCAGCATCCCTGGCCTCTAGCCACTAGATGGCACAGAAGCAACAATGTTTACAGACATTGTAAAATGTCCCCCGTGGGATGAAAATTGCCTCCAGCTGAAAACCACTGCTCAAGAATAATACTAAACTCTTTGAGTTCATGACTCAAGTCTTCTACTTCCTTACAGCCATACAAAAGCATAACCAAGTGTCAGTACATAAGTCAAAAACATTACATTCATACATTCTTACACTGACCTGAGCTGAAAACGTTTCTTGATATAGAGGAGAGAGACAAGGCCTCAAAGGACTCATTCAACAAATATTCCTTTAGTACTTATGAGGTTCAAGGCCCAATTTCTCACTGTTCCTATGATAACTTCAGAAAAGTACTTTACAAAGAATGTTTGAAATAAAATGGGCAGGACTCTCCTACTGAGTCAAATCAGCACGTATTTACCAGGCATCCTTTATGTGTGTGTACTGTGTATTCCCATCACTATTTAGGGAGGGCTTTCTGATTTGTACATGTCCCAGCTAAGTTTAAAAAAAAAAAAAAAACTCAAGGCTTTGCCAGGGTAATGAAGTCAACCACCTCCTCCCTTTTCCTACTTCACACAATGCCTCACAGAATGTATTCAGGTGTCAGGTCTTCATTTCCCTAGAATAACAGAGGTCCCATAATATCCCAGGACAAGTAGATATAAGAAATGGAAATGCCCATTTGGGTGGTACCTGAGCAGAAAATTAAGGACCACATTTCTATTTTTTAAAGATTTATTTGAGAGAGAGAGAGAAAGAAAGAGCATGCAAGCAGGGGAGAGGCAAAGAGAGAGGGAGACAAGCAGACTCCCCACTGAGCACGGTGCCCCGATGTGGGGCTTGATCCCAGAACCCCAAGATCATGACCTGAGCCAAAAGCAGACTCTTAACCGACTGAGCTACCCAGGCGCCCCGGACCACACTTCTAAATAAACAGTCCAATACAGGTTTCCTGCTACCTATCAAAACTCTTTTCCTTTTTTCCAACTTGGACCTGTGTCTTGCCAAGCCAGTCTGTTCACTGTCTCAAAACATATGGGACTCATTCCTATCTCTGGGCCTTTGCATATTCTTCCTTCTGCTTGCAATGTTTCCCTCTCTTTTATCCATCCAAATCCAACTTGTCCTTTGAGAGCCCAGCTGCAATTTCACCTTCCCTCAAGAAGCCTGCCCTGATTCCCTAGCTTAGTGAATTTGGCCCTCTGCTTTTCTCAAGCACGGATTTTTCTCCTTACTCAAAGGGTGGCACAAAGACTAGTATCAGCATTGTCTGGGTGCTTGTTAGAAATGCAGAATCTCAGGCATCACTCCAGACCCACTGAATCAGAATCCTACTTTTAATAAGGTCTCCAGATGATTCATATGCATATTAAATCTATGAAGCACTGTTCCATACCAGTCATTCATAGTCTTATCTTAAATGTGATTTCCAAGTGATGTAACTGCTTTTTTAAAAAGATTTTATTTATTTATTTATTTGACAGAGAGAGAGAGAGTGTGTATAAGCAGTGAGAGGGGCAGGCAGAGGGAAAGGAAGAAGCAAGCTCCCCGCTGAGCAGGAGGCCGGATGCAGGGCTCAATCCCAGGACCCTGGGATCATGACCTAAGCCTAAAGCAGACGCTTGACTGAGTGAGCCACTCAGGTGCCCCGATGTAACTGCTTAAGGCCAGAACCAGGACTAAGGAAGGTGGAGGTAAGCCAAGGGACCTAGGGCTCAAAATTTAAGGAGGCACTCATTGTCAGGTACTGACCCTCCATGCGCATGACCTTGAAAGTGAGTGCCTTGTTTGCTTCACCCTAGTCCTGGCCTGCTTATGTCTACCTTGCTTCCATCCCATAAACCTGGAAGATCCCACAGAGCCAAGGAGAATACACTGCTTTGTGTCTTTCAAGGAGAATAGAACAGAGCTGAGCATATACTAAGCACTCAGTGAGTACTAGGGGAATTGAACAGAATTCTCTCCAATACGATAATAAGTGTGCTGACAAACCAGCACCCCACCTGGAGATGCTTAAATGGGAGTATAAATAAACACATGAAAAATACTTAGTAGGTATCCGGGAAAGAAGTATTCATTTGATACCAGGAGGCACTCAGAAACTCATGTTTGTCAAAACAAAAAGAAACAACACAACTACATCTCCAAAGAAGCAAGACGACTCCACTGAAGGGTAAACTAAGGAAGATCCAAAGAACTGGGCCAGCCATGGGGTGTCTCTCCATGATGGTGGTCAAGCATGTTACTACCTATACCTTAGGCTCTCCGTCTAGAAAATAGAGAATAAGACTTCTGACTTCATTGTGGGGCTGTGAGGGTAAGAACATTCAAGGTGACCAAGTGATTTCCTTACCTTTCCTCCTGGGAGAGTGGAAGCACTTTATAAAGTATCAGGAGAGGCTGTGGAACCGAATGTTGATGAAGCACAGGACACTACTGCTTCCAGAGCCTCAGGGAAAATACCTCAGAAGGGCAAGCACTAAGGCTGAGACTAGACCTGGGCTTAGAGGACTGTTCAGCACTTCATGGAATACTATGAATGCAAAGAGTAGAGACATGATTTGGCTTTAGTAGTTGCCTCCTGAACCAAACAATTCTTTAAACTACATCCATATTGGTCTTCTAGCACAAGTGGAAAAACAGGGAAAGCTGTAAACCATAGCTATAATTAACCCGTACCATCTGGAAATACATCTTTATTTGCTCCCTCATTAATGAGTTTATTCATCTGGGTCCAAGCAGTAAGTCAGTCTGATTGTGCCCTGTCCAGAGCTCAGGTAGCTAATTGAGGAGGCTCTCCAGGCATGGTTACTGACTGATGGGTTCACATCCAACTCCCAAGACCCACACATAGAATGTTTTCTTGCCAACCAATCCCTCCCCTCCTAGAAGCTCACAAAGCCCTTAGTAGTATCAATCTACCTAAGTCCAGATTTGAAAGAAGTTAAATCAAAAATGTCAAGCAGAGAGCAAGAGAAAATTTCATAAAAACAGAAAATGCTCAGGTGCAAGATTCAGGGACCCACCCCTGTAACCCAACAGGCCTCTTGTACCCCACAAATATTGGATACTCTGTGGTCTGAGTTTTTACACAGGCTGGTTACTTTGTCCATTAAGCCCCTCTCTTCCACCAAACTACATTATGCCTTCCTACAAAATGCTGGCCAAATCCTCCTGGCTCGAAGGCTCTTCAGACTGACCCCATTCACTGAAGAAACAAACATCCTTTACTGCCTTCCTAAGCATGGGCCAGAGCCCAGTAGCATCAGCACCCTGAGAGCTTATTAAGAAACAGAGAATCTCAGACTCTACCCCAGACCTCCTGAATCAGAATTTACACTAAATAAGATAGACAGGTAATCCATATGCCCTTTAAAAGTTTGAGAAGCCCTGCTACTGCACACCAGCACTCATTCACAACTTGTCCTACAATCATACACTTCTATGCACCTGATTCTTTTAATGACAGCTGTACTGAGATCTAATTCACATACCATAAAATCCACCCATTTAAAGTGTACTATTCAGTGCTTTTTAGTATATCGAGTTGTGCCACCACCACCACTTCTAAGTTTAGAACATTTTACCACCCCAAAAAGAAACCACATACCAGTTAGCAGTCCCTCTCCATCCTCCCCCCAGCCTAAGAAACCACTAATTTACTTTCTGTTGCTATCTACAGACTGCCTAGTCTAGATGTTTCATATAAATGGGATCATACAACATGTGGTCTTTTGTAATTGGCTTCTTTCACTTAGCATAACGTTTTCAATGTTCATCAGGTTGTAGCACGTATTGTGGTTCATTCCTTTCTTCACTGTATGGACATAGCACATTATAGCTATCCACTCATCAGTCATTGGACATTTGAGTTGTTTATACTTTTTAACTATTACAAATAATGCTGTTATGAACATTTATCTACAAGTCTTTGTGTAGACAGGTTTTCATTTCTCAAGTATATATACCTAGGAGTGAAATTGTTGGGTCATATGGTAACTCTATGTTTAACCTTTTAAGGAACTGCCAAATTGTTTTCCACAGCAGCTGCACCATTTTACATTCCCACCAGCACTGCATCAAAGTTCCAGCTTCTCCACATCCTCAACAACACTTGTTACTCTCTTCTTGATAAAAGCATCCAAGCGGGCGGGAAATGGTATCGCAACATATTTTCAATTTTGCATTTCCCTGAAGGACAGTAATGCTGAGCACCTTTTCGTAGGCTTATTGGCCATTTATATATTTTCTCTGGAGAAAAGTTTATTCAGATCCTTTGTCCATTTTTTAAAAATAGACTATTTTAGATCAGTTTTAGGCTCACAGCAAAACTGAATGGAAAATACAGAGATTACCCATATGTTCCCTGCACCCAAATATGCAGAGCCTCCCCCATTATCAACATCCCCCACCAGAGTAGTACATTTGTTCCAACTGATGAACCTACCCTGACACATCATTTCACCCAAAGTTCATAGTTTACCTTAAAGTTCATTATTGATGTTATATAGCCTACTGGTTTGGGCAAATGTATAATGTATACAGAGATGTATGCAACACTCAAGTATCATACAGAGTAGCTTCACTGTCCTAAAAATCCTCTGTGCTCTGCTTATTTATCCCTCTATCCCCCCAACCCCTATCAAACACTTATCTTTTTACTGTCTCTATGGTTTTGACTTCTCTAGAATGTCATATAGTTAAAATCAGATGTAGCCTCTTTACACTGGCTTCTTTGACTTAGTAATATGCATTTAAGATTCCTCTATGTCGGGCGCCTGGGTGGCTCAGTTGGTTAAGCAACTGCCTTCGGTTCAAGTCATGATCCTGGAGTCCCGGGATCGAGTTCCGCATCGGGCTCCCTGCTCAGCAGGGAGTCTGCTTCTCCCTCTGACCCTCCACCCTCTCATGCACTCTCTCTATGATTCTCTCTCATTCTCTCTCTCTCAATAAATAAATAAAAATCTTAAAAAAAAAAGATTCCTCTATGTCTTTTCATGGTTTAATCACTCATTTCTTCTTAGTGAATAATATTCACAAAGATATTCCATTGTCTGGATGTACCACAGTTTATTTATCCACTCACCTACTGAAGGACATCTTGATTACTTCCAACATTTGGCAACTGTGAATAAAGCTGCTATAAACATCTGTGTGCAGGTCTCTGTGTGGACATAGATTTTCAACTCTTATGGGGAAATGCTAGAGAGCACAATTACTGGATTGTATGGTAATAGTGTGTTTAGTAAATTACTATTAGTAATTTGTGTCCTCTTTTTTTCTTAGTTAGCCTGGCTACAGACCTACCAGTTTTATCAATCTTTCAAAGGATCAGATTTTGATTTTGATTTTCTTTACTGATTTCTTACTTTTAATTCATTGATTTCTGCTGTTTTTCATTATTTCTTTTCTTCTGCTTAATCAGGTTTTAATTTGCTCTTTTTCTTTCCAAAGGTGGATCCTTAGGTGATTGATTTTATTTTATTTTCTTATTTTTTTCATGTCGTGGACTTGCTTCTTTAATTGGAGATGAACTCAGCAGCCAATGGCAAGGATCCACACTCTAACAAAAGAGCCAACTACAGAATGGTGGTCCTCTCAAAGAAACCAGTAACTTGCATTTGATTTATCCAGCTTGGCTCATTCCCAAATGTTTAAGATTTGGATTCCTAAAGTCTTCTTCAGCATTTAACTACTTCTCTGTGGGTGGAAGCAGCTGGGACTGTTTGTCCACACATAAACTGATCCTTGTCATAAATCACTTTTATAATGAGAAAGCAGCTAGGACACGCTGCCATGTCTTCCTCATTCTCCTAATCTTCCTTGGTGATGCACAAGCTATCCCCACACGGGAAGGGGTATAAATGTCTCCAAGTCTTCATCATATTGGAAGTCCTCAATCTCCACCTCATCATGAAACACAGCCATCGTCACTGGGGCCAGGTGAGGTCTGCCACCTCCACTTACCAACACTGCCCTGGGACAGTCTAACTTGGCAGGCTCAGGCCCCAGCCCCGGTGATTGATTTTAGATCTTTCGTCTCTTCCCTCTAAGCATGGTTTTTGCTGCATCCCACAAATTTTGGTAAGTTGTATTTCCACTTTCATTTAGTTCAAATGTATTTAAATTTCTCTTGAGATTTCTTCTTTGATCCATATTTAGAAGTATGTTGCTTGATCTTCAAGTATTTATGGATTTTCTAGCTGTCATTCTGTTACTGATTTCTAGCTGAATTCCATTATGCTCTGACAGGGGACAATGTATGATTCCTATTCTTTTAAATTTGTTGTGTTTTATGGCCCACTTTGTGGTCTATCTTGGTGAATGTTCCATGTAAACTTGAGAATGTCTCTATTCTGCTGTTGTCAGATGAAGCAGTCTATAGATGTCCATTATATCCAGTTGATTGACGGTGTTACTGAATTCAGCTATGTCTTTACTGACTTTCTGCCTGCTGAATCTGTTCATTTCTGACACAGGAATGTTGAACTCTCCAACTAGAAAAGTGGATTTGTCTATTTCTCTTTGCAATTCTATCAGTTTTTGCCTCACATATTTTGACACCCTTGTGTTAGGCACATACATATTACAGATTGTTATGTCTTCTTGAAGGCCTGACTCTTTCATTACTACATAATGCCCCCCTTGATCCCTAATAACTTTCCTTCTCTAAAATCTGCTCTTTCTGGGATGCATGGGTGGCTCAGTTTGTTAAGCACTCAACTCTTCATTTTGACTCAGGTAATGATCTCAGGGTCATGAGATCGAGCCCTGCATCAGGCTGCACACTCAGTGGGGAGTCTGCTTAAGATTTTCTCCCTCTCCCTTTGCCCCTCCTGCTCCCCCACCCGCTCGCATGCTCGTGCTCTCTCTAAAATAAATAAATAAATCTTTGAAGTCTGCTCTTTCTGAAATATAGCTAGTCTTGCTTTCTTTTGATTAATATTAGTATGGTATATCTTTCTCCATTCATTTACTTCTAATTTATATGTGTCCTTTTACTTAAAATGAGTTTCTTATTTTTTATCCACTCTGACCATCTTTTAATTGGTGCATTTAGACCACTGATGTTCAAAGTAACTACTGATATAGTTGGATTAATATCCACTATATCTGTTAATATTTTGTTTGTTGTCCTTGTTCTTGGCTCCTGTTTTTTTCTTCCAAGCTTTTGTGATTTTTTTTTTTTTTTTAAAGTAGGCTCCATGCCCAGGGTGGAGTCCAACATGGGGCTTGAACTCACAACCCTGAGATCAAGACCTGAGCTGAAATCAAGAGTTGGAAGCTCAACCGACAGCCACCCAGACACCCCCAAGCTTTTGTGATTTTAATTGAGAATTTTATATATTATATTTTCTCCCCTTTCTCAGCCTATCACTTATATTTCTGTTTTTATTTGTTTTAGTGGTTGCCCTAGAGTTTGCAGTATACATTTACAACTAATTAAGTCCACTTTTTTTTTTTTTAAAGATTTTATTTATTTATTCATGA